CAAAGCAGTTACACTTCTTCAGTATACTTACAAGCTGTCTTTGGTTAATTAAGAACACAAGCACCATCTCTTCTTATACTATGCTGTACTAAGAATACTTTCTTGAGGTACCAGCTAATATTATTAGCTTGACTTCAAACCCTTCTACCACCAAATACCTTTTGTTGTATTTTCTAACCACAGTGGAGATCTTTGTGATCAGAACACCACCACAGCAAGTGGTGTACTGTGGAGGACTTTGGTACCAAGTGGTTATAAAGTCAGAGCTTTCTTTTCTAAACACTTCATGTTTCTTCACTTTTCATTGAATTTCAATGTATAAAATACTCCTTTTTTTTTTTATTTAGGTTATTTTTACTAGTTGATTGTATTTTAACTGAATTGGTTTATTAACTCTTATTTAATTTATAAGGAATTTCAAATGTCAGCTAGCTCTTTGGCAATTGGTTATTACACTGTTATGTAATAATTCAAAATATTTTTGGCAATTGTTTGGATTATTCTTTTTTTTTTTTAATCTTAAACTTAATATGTTCAGTTGTACATTCAGTTACTAAGGATTTGAATAATAATTGAATATAATTATTTTACCCAGAGTTTATATTTCATTTTCAGATGGCTTAGACATAAAACAAATTACCTTAGTTGCTATAAGTAAAAATAAAATACACAGTCTTTATTTTTTGTTAAAAGTAAGTTAATATTTACAATTACAAAACCTGAAGCTGGAAATATGGGAGAATGTATACGTGGAGACGCAGATAGCAAAGTGCAAAATCGGGGATACTTTTCTGAAAAGGGGAACTCAGAGCTGAATGCCTCCTTTAGCATGTGTGCAACCCGTATTCATGCCAAATAACATACCTTTTCAAAAATTACCCTTATATTCTGCTATGGGTAACCCAAAATGATATTGTATTCCATAGAGATCTGTGTCCACAATCTGTTACTGTCTTTTTAAGATCCGGCAGCCAGAGAATGGAACTGGGTGGTACTGGAAATGGAAATGGGGAAGGTGGTACTGCGGGCATTTCCAAAGCTGGCTCTCGCAGGCAGCTCAGCCTCTTTTGCCACCTAGTTTTTGCCTTGCTAGGCTCTTCGTTTTTGCTGAGACGGGGCTCTCATTCTGGCTGCTTGACTTTCCTCTTGGCTTCTTGCTGTGGAGCCAAGGCATTGTGGACACTGAGGCATTGAGGCTTTTCCGTTTTGGGTTCTCTTTTAGGTTTATTTCTTTCTCATCTCAGAGAGGCTGCAGTTAGCGGTCTTGGGCTGCCTAAGGGCAAATTCCACCACGAGTCGTCTCAGCCCAGCTGCCGTGCCTTGCCTGCCCTGCAATCTCCTGCCAAGAGAAAGGCGAAATCCCTCTGTGGGTTCTAGCCCCATGGTCCTGATGCCTAAAACTAGGCAAGAAAATAGAATTCCACAGTCGGACTAAAGAGCAGGTATTTATTGATTTTAGTGCTGGGGAGTGAGTGGGATCGCTCTGCTGTAAAACTCATTCAYCCTAAATGGTTACATTTTAAAGATCATTCCGTGCAATGCCATGATTACAACATGTCATTAGCATACTCATATTTACATAGAGCTGTGTCACGGTTATACAACAGTTTSTTGCTTTTGCGTATGCATCAGTTCCTTCTTGTGTTGATCATCAGTCCTCTGGTGGTCTTTGATGTAGACTTTTGTATCTTCCYCCCATTTGAACTTTTTACCTTGGTCTTCAATGCATGCTCTGTGCTCATGTTTTTCAGTCTGTTTTTAATCAAGTTTGCAGTTTGCAAGTTCTGTTGAAACCTGCTATCTCGCTTTTTTTTTTCTTTTGCTTGCACTTTATCTTACTTGCTCTGTTTTCACACGTTATCTAGTTACATTATTAGTTGTGATTAATATTTTGTTACAGGCTCATCACCTAGCTTTCAATACAGAGAATACCAGTCGGAGCTCGAGCCTTTAGGGACCTCCTTTGATCCCCTGCTCAGAGCAGTGAGCAGGGGGAGGACTGACATTATTTTTCCCTTTGTCCGTGGAACCACATGCTTGACTGTGGAGGGCCACCTTGGCGGGTCGGTACCCTGTGAGATGTAACTATTGTATATGGCAGATATTTACTGTTATTCTTTGCCAGTTGCTGTTCTGATTGTTAGAAAACTGTTACCTCTTCACTTGTATATACTTGTATTCATTCCTTATTGGTGGRAAGGAATTGGTTTAGCTTGTAAGGGGAAGCAACACGTTCCAGAGTGTTCCAGTTTCTTCTTAAAATCTCTRAAACCAATACATATTCATAAAATCTAACTGGACTAGTTATAGCCATCTCTTTAATTCTTCATACCATTCCAGTGAGGTTTGTTGTTATGGTTCTTTAACCTTACGCTCATGTAGATTACAAGAGGA